AACCCTCTTATTTGAGCGTAGTACTTTCCAGACCATCTGAAGATTGAGCAGCTCAAGCATTCTTTTAAGAGTGTCATCAGATGCTCTATCCTGAAGCCATACATGTTTATTTCTCCTTCGTGTTGTGTAAGGAGTTCGAATATAGCTTGCATTGCGGAGTCATTCGACACGTTTGTATAAAGGGCGGTAACGTCGAAGGACTCCATCACGCACGCGCTGTTGGGCTGCGCAGTATGTAGACGATCCAGAAACATTTGGGTATTCGTAAGATCGGCTGGAATGTGTTTCAACAACTGGTGAAATATTAGGGTTAAAAACCATGTTATCCTGTCCGTTGGCCCGTCTACACAGCTAATGATACGTCTAACCTTAAATAGTGATGGATCGTTAGACGCAAGATCATCGCTGGATACTAACTTATGAGTTTTTATAAATAAGTGCAAGACGGGGCATGTTGGTAAGTCAGCTTTAAGTTGAGAGATAACTGATGGTTTTAAACCAGCAGCTCTTGCCATTTTGGCCCACTCGTGGTTTAGTTTTCGGTATTTACCTTTGAATTCCTCCTCAGATGATGGGCGATAAAGCAAAGCATCTTCAAGATGCTTTTTCGCTATCTCCACATCTAACTAATGAGGAATTACGACAAACTCTCCACCCTTATCACTAACGGAAAGTCTTATGGTTTTCAACCTTATCAGCTCTCGTACCTCTCGCATACCACGTTTTTGCACTGGAGAGAGGTTTGAGCTGTGTCTTTTCGCGCGATAGTGATTAAGGACTTTGAGAGTTTCATTCGCAAACATCCGAAATTTAACATCAACTTCATTATTGGGCTCTTGTTGTCTAAAGAACGTCGGGGGAAATGGTGCTATTGGTAGGGCCCCCACTTGATGTTGTTCGCACCTATTCACCGCCTCATCTCTAGCTTTTCTGCGGAGTCTATCTTGAAGTTCATGTAAACCACATGCGACCCTACGCAAGGTTATCTTAGAAATGGGTTCAGATGGTGAGAAACTCGGCCCCAATTCTAATAACGAGCGCGCACCGTCAGGGAGAGTTATGCCTCCTAACACGGTTAGCCTTGAATTTTCTTGCACCTTACCTATCCTAATGTGATCTGCTTGATGTTCTTTAGCGATATTTTTGTGCGCTATTGGAGCTGTATTATGTGATTTACTCAAAAGGTCTTCGAATTTTCTCCGCAAAGCTACTTTAGCATTAGACCTAATAGAGTTGCAAATCAACACTGACCCGCTCACTATTCTCCTCCAGAGGCGGTCCTCCAAATATTGAGCACAAAAGTTTTCCTTCGTCTCGCACTTCTTCCACTTGGCGAACATCTCGTTTTGTCGGCTTTGTAGACAAGTGCGTAGTATTCGCAATTCGACGTCCAATACTCGGTGACTGTCCTCTGGTAGACCGCATACGTCGTGTAGTCGTCTTCGTTTGATGAAGTTCGGAACGACTTGATGTTTTAGACAGCGGCGGAGAAAGTGTATTGACTGTCGAGCTAAGACGATCTTTTGTCTCAGTGACAGCGCTTCTTTTACAAGTCGGAAGTATCTTGCTGGTACATCTTGCAGTAACTGCCACGACCGACTTTCTATTAACCTCGGCATTGATCAAGTAATTTTCTTCGTATTTTTGTTGAGCAAACGCGAGGTGTTATTATTCTTTGTTTATNATTGATTAGTCACACCGAGGTTTAGAGAAAGTCGGTTTCGAAATATTACTACGCTTTGTGCTAGCTGATAAAACACCGACTTCTGCACGATGTACGCAATGATGTATGTCCGGAAGAAATACAAGTTGTTACCACCGGACATTATCATTATATATCCACCATCAGCATCGTGTATAAAAGAGCATCACTGAGTGAGGATGCCTCATTCGAGAAGATGGACCACTGAGGAAGACCTGGCTCGACACGAAGGCGAAGATGCAACGTCGAGACGAACAACAATCATGGACCATCGACTCGGATCATCGGCTCTGAGGAAGACGAAGACGTCGAAACGTTAGCCGAAANCTGTATTATGTGATTTACTCAAAAGGTCTTCGAATTTTCTCCGCAAAGCTACTTTAGCATTAGACCTAATAGAGTTGCAAATCAACACTGACCCGCTCACTATTCTCCTCCAGAGGCGGTCCTCCAAATATTGAGCACAAAAGTTTTCCTTCGTCTCGCACTTCTTCCACTTGGCGAACATCTCGTTTTGTCGGCTTTGTAGACAAGTGCGTAGTATTCGCAATTCGACGTCCAATACTCGGTGACTGTCCTCTGGTAGACCGCATACGTCGTGTAGTCGTCTTCGTTTGATGAAGTTCGGAACGACTTGATGTTTTAGACAGCGGCGGAGAAAGTGTATTGACTGTCGAGCTAAGACGATCTTTTGTCTCAGTGACAGCGCTTCTTTTACAAGTCGGAAGTATCTTGCTGGTACATCTTGCAGTAACTGCCACGACCGACTTTCTATTAACCTCGGCATTGATCAAGTAATTTTCTTCGTATTTTTGTTGAGCAAACGCGAGGTGTTATTATTCTTTGTTTATTTCTTTTTATTTATTTATTTTTTATTTCTTTTTTATTTTATTTATTCTTTTTTTTCATATTTATCAACCTCGTGCAAGCTTATCAAGAAAGAATACACATTGATTAGTCACACCGAGGTTTAGAGAAAGTCGGTTTCGAAATATTACTACGCTTTGTGCTAGCTGATAAAACACCGACTTCTGCACGATGTACGCAATGATGTATGTCCGGAAGAAATACAAGTTGTTACCACCGGACATTATCATTATATATCCACCATCAGCATCGTGTATAAAAGAGCATCACTGAGTGAGGATGCCTCATTCGAGAAGATGGACCACTGAGGAAGACCTGGCTCGACACGAAGGCGAAGATGCAACGTCGAGACGAACAACAATCATGGACCATCGACTCGGATCATCGGCTCTGAGGAAGACGAAGACGTCGAAACGTTAGCCGAAAATAAATATATTTATCAACCTCGTGCAAGCTTATCAAGAAAGAATACATATTGATTAGTCACACCGAGGTTTAGGGAAGGTCGGTTTCGAGATATTTTTTTAATTCAAAAGACATTGGAAAATTTCCCTAAAGAAAAATGATTGCAGAATTTTAGACGGAAACATTTTTCACGGGCAAAAGAGCTTCTGCTATTCAAGAAGTTTTCTATAACTTATTTTTAGAATCTGCGCTATCACCGATGATGCAAAACATGGCTTGTTTCCACAACCGAAAATAGCTGAGGCTTTCTTCAGAGCATCACTTGTAAAGTTATCACAGGATCGCAGCGAGCCAAGGTGAGTATTCTGGCTTGATTACAACAGAAGTTGGCAGCCTGAAAGGTTAACGAGAGTTCTGTTGAACTAATGCCTAGCTAATCTTTAAACCGTTGGAAAAATAACGATGTCTTCCAAGTCCGACTTTCTATTAACCTCGGCATTGATTGAATATATCTTTCTACTTCTGTTCAGCAGGCAACATGTTCAACATTACGCTTCCATGTGAATTCTGTGCGGTCGGTCTTCACGCGAAATACTCAGTGGAGGACTCATAGAAAGCGGCTCTGAGGAAGGCGAAATCCGCCGAAACGTCAGCTTGTGCGTAAATAAAGAAATAAAATAGCACCTCGTGCTTGCTGAACAGAAGTAGAACGATGTCTTCTTTCGAGATTTTTGAAATTGATTTACTATGCCAGCAGTTAGAAATTTGTCATCACTCAGACAAGTAGCCGGCCGAATGATCCTCACTCAACGTGAAGGCACTGCTGCTACTAAGAATTCCGATCAAAGCGGAGCCACAGTAAGCGAAGGAAAGCTAATTGCAAGTCAGGTAAACCTTTTCTCATAAATATGACACATAGTAATGAAATGCACTGCTTTCACTTTATTCTCCTCAGAAGGAGTTGTGAAAGAAGAAACGAAACAACGAAGACAGTGCTGAGATTGTAAACTGTTACTACTTATTCCTTTCATTTGTATGACAAACAATCATGCATTATTCGGATACCAGTGAATCATTATTTGGTTTTGCAGTCTATCGGCCATCCCCGAACGACTTTGAATGATATGTAGGTTCCACTACTACTTGACTTGACGATTTTGCCTTCTCCATTAACGTCGACTTCTTGTTGATCATCCTTTCATCTTGAATGTCGTCGAATGCTGGTCAAGTCGATTCTCCTTGGAGTGCTCAGATTCCCGAGCTAGAGCGTTCCCACTCGGATTGCACAGAGTGCCTTTTTCACGGTCAGGTCCGCTACCAATTTCCTAACCTCGAAGGCATGAGAGACTTGGTGAGCCCGAAAAGAGAACGAACTAACACCTTGCTCTCAATGATTTTCATCACCACCACTACGTTACCCTCTCACTTCAAGATGTTAAAAATGTCTAAACAAGGAACTCTTATTTTAGGTAGCATCTAGCACCCACACTCACGTGCTTCCGGAGCGAATGGGTGAACGTAACGCGAAAACGACGTCATTCAAATACGACAATCATGTCCTCTGTGCCACTTTCCCAGAAATGGCGGGTTACCTGAATTTATTCAGATTATCCATGAAAGTCCATGAGTTGAAACCATAAGCACTTTTAATTCCAGCTAACTTTCAACTTCCGTAGAAATTTCAAACTCTTGCTGGTAACGAAAGAAGTTCACTAACATTTAGAACTGCATGTCCGTCACTATTTAAAAGTGACTAGAGAGTAGTCAAAATCTAAAAGTACCGTTTAGGGTGTGGCTTTGAATTCGATGATGGATCGTCGTCAGCTCGCTACCAGATATGCCGTTCAAGTGGAAGTGACTCTAAATATCGACAATAAACTTATCGTCAACCATGTGCGTCATGCACGCTTGATCAGCCTACGTGGTTTTTTCGCTTTTACAAGTCTAAAGTTGTGAAGTAAATTTTAAAAAAGAATAAGTCATTGAATTACTCGGCATACGCTGACACCTCGCTTCAATGTGCTCATCTTTCGCTGTGAGCTCTTAGAAGTGAAGAAATACTTGGATACTTGAATGAGTCGCCTTTACGGATCTCCAAGAAGGCCTTGCAAAATCTCCACAGTTTGATAATTTGTTGACTTGGCAACATTTCTTTTTCCTGGAGTTCCAAAAGTTTTGATAGGGTTCCGTCACTTCGTTATCACTTGCCAACTAGTGAGTACTGTATTGCCAGGACGACAAACATTACCGCTATTGGTTTATATTAACCGGGCTTTCGGATGAAAATGTCGAACACGTCCTAAAAGTACATGTTGCCAAAAATGTTGGTTACGAACGGCCAAGGGACACAGAGACCAAACAAACGCTTTACCTATGCATTCAACAGGACACTAACTCAATCGAATTTCCGTAACGAGAAATTATGTTGGTTAGTAACTAAAACCTAAGAAGTGTAAGTATTGTAAAGAAGGACAATGGCTACCTCTTTTCGTAAATTGTGTCGACCTCGACCAAGCGGTCGATTAGGAATCGTCGCCGTAATGGAAGGATCCCAGATACAAGATGGCAAGCCTCCCTGCAATATCCAAGACTTGTTTGTGGCCCATGATAAAGACCTGAGAAATGTTATGCTGGTTCTAGTTAAAACAGCAATCGATCTGCACTCAAGATGTCAATGAGGAGGAAAGTAAAAAACAAGAGAAAGAGGACACAAATCTCTTGGAAACATAAATGATTCCTTAAAAAAAACTAAGTTTAAAAAGTGGAAAAAGAAGGGACCAGTGGCAATAATACAAGAAAATACAAAATTGATTTTGCTGTTCAATACAAGCAAAATCTTGGTTCGACTCCTCACAAGACCAGAGGAGACAGAGCATCCGCCCAAGGTCGGTGTCAGACTTGTCCGGGATCAATGCGCTTCCTCTTATTCAGCTGGCCACGGCGTGTGATGAAGTCTCGGAAACACCTTATCGTGCCCATCTCGAGATTCTAAAGAGATTCAGCACGACCAGCGCCCACCGGCAATCAGAAAGCCAAAGGTCCTCACGCAGAAGGCGAACAATCGTCGCACAGAATTGAAAGATTTTCGTGAACGTCGAAAAATCAAATGAATGCGAGAAGTGATGGGATCCACTGTCAGGTTATGTAATAAATAATAAAAAATGATGCATCAAATTGGCTGGTAGTATGCATTTGGCCTACAACACTGACTTGCGTGAGCACACGGATGTTCCAGGTCGGAGTTTTTATCATCCTAGACAAATCTAATCTGACAATAATTTTCAAGGCCTTGAACTGGTGAATATCGTAATAGTTGAACAATCTTCACTTTGAACATTTGACCATTTCTACTTCATTCGAGTAACGGTTACTTTAAGGCAGTATTGTCTCATCCATTCCTAATCGCAATCACTAACGACCAAACTGAACCGCTGCTCTATTCAATTTTCTGGAGCCGAATGCTATGCAACGACAACTCCGTAGGTCTATTGAACGTTCATGACACGCTTACATTATTAAGTAAAATAAGAGTGAACAAGGTAGTGAAGAATTTTCTGTTTCATTCAGGACATATTGGAGGCGGATAGCGAGTCATCAAAGGTACCGTGGGCTCTCTTAAGACAAGCAATTCGTTATTATGTGAAATCACATGTTGCGAATGCTAGAGGCTTACACCATCACGAGATTTGTCATCTACAGTGTATGACATTACTTCCGCGGTGAGTTCATAATACCTCACAAGAGTTTGTGAGATCTACGAAACTCCCATCGCTCCGTCAAATTCGAACTAAATCTGTGCTCAAAAGATTACAGAGTGCTGCGTTGTAAGAGCGATGAGGAATTGAAGTCCTTAGAACGTGAGCTCTATGGAAACATCAGTGGTTCATCACTCAATGACTGGCGAAGTACACTCAGAAACAGACTTCTAACCGAAGAAGTGCTGCCCACTACACTTGTCGGAAAGAGAGAATTCATGGTGGTAAGGGAGAAATAGGATGCACGATCAAAAACTTTTTTGAAGCAAAGTGCTTTATCTGATAACGACTCCAATACAGGTGCTTTCAGTATTTATAGCTGCGTGCTTAATCTTTCATTTCACTCTCCAATATTGTCTAACTCGTTGTGAACCCCTTTCTACAAAATTTCTTCATTTTCTTGACACTGCAGTATATGATGCTTGCACTCAATGTTTGATAGAGTAAGGTTGAGTGAACTGTGGGATTTTGTTTTCGGATAGAGACTTTCTTAAACACAGGAAAAAAATCTTAGCAAAAGAAAATTTAATTGATGACAACAATACTTTACTTTAACGATTGCTTTTCGTCACTATGAAGACATCCAGCCATTCGCTCACGGTGATCATCGAAGTTTGGTAAAGATTTCGGAAAACGTCTTTTTGTTCATAGCTGTTATTTCACCGTCTAGCAATTCCGGTGCCAGATAAAGAGGAATTTCCTCTATGGGGATGTCGTGAGCCGCGTGGAAGCAAGCGGCGTGAACCGTCGTCATCTTTCATTACTAGGTCCTCCCGAAATTAAGGCCTGATTTTATGCACAGCTGCAATTTTTCTCTGCATAACTGAGTTATAATTGTGTTATTGACAAACTTTATAGTCCAGGATTTCAGATGTCAGAACAGAAATTTGGCTAAATCTAGTTTCACAAATTCAAACTTGGTCGTAGTGCAGCCAGACGTCTTGAGAGATTAGTGGGTTATACGGTCAAGGAAGCATTATCTAATGCGCATACAATGTTGGTTCGAAAAATTTCATTGTGGCAGATTCGAAAACTTGAAGATGATTCGTCGTTGACAAGCGTGCCTTTGCCACTGATGACAATGAATCGAAAGTCTCGCTGCGAGCCTTGTGAGCAAAAACGCACAGAACTAACTCACATAAGAACTCAATGTAAATATTTGGACTGTTTTGAGCGTTTAAAGAACATTTGAAAGTGGAAGAAGCTCAAGAAATTGTTGCTGCAGGAGTTCGAAGACAATCAAAAGCTGTTTTGAGTTCTCGTCAGTACAACCAGAACCACACCTTTCTCGAGTATATTGTGACGTGAGACAAGACATAAATGTGGACTCGTAAAATTTAGCTCAGTGTGATGAAGCTTCACAGCACTTTCCAAAGCCAAAATTGCACTAAATAGAACGTCATGCTGAGTACTTGGCGAATTGCTGCCACAGCAATCCACCATAGCTTCCTATAGCCGTATGAAACCCCTATAGCAGAAAACAACGTTCAGTAAATCGACGAAATGCACTTGTATCGTCAAGGGCTCCACTAGTCAAACTAGATATTACATACTTCTTTCTGATTAGAAGAAACTACAGCAACATTCGAGCAGATTTAAATTGAATTAATAATGAGTTCTCTCTAAAGTTTACTGAAAAATTTGAAGTTGTCAAAGAAGTGCGTTTGTGGACCGAGCGGTTCATTTTATTGTAACAAGAACTATCGCTGAAAATAACGCTAAAAGCAATTTATGCACCGATAACTGCCATCATAGTTCTGGATTTTGTGGTACAAGACTACAACAGATTCGAGGTAAGCTGCCCTTAGAAGCCGGAAGAGGTAAAAAGCAAAGTAGAACCTGATCTCCTTACTGAATGAGAAGTTTCTACGTATTACTTAGCTTGTATTAGCATGATTTTGAACACATAGGAAGCCGAGTTTATGTATAAGTTCGCCAGTGGATTGGAGATGGATTTCCATCGCAGAAATATGGGAGGCTGGTCGAGATTCTTCTTTTGGATTCTCAGAAAGCAATGCTATGGTGTTTCTTCTGCTAATCTGGATCAAACGGAGTCTTACTGCATTGCGACTAGGATTTGCTTAGATCAGCAGCGATTCTAGGAACCGGTTGACTGGCCAATCACTCGGTGATGCAAAAGTTTAATTACAAATATTACGTAGTGGATAAAGGGAAAGGCGCTCAGCGCTAACCAATCCTCTGGAGTTGCGCCATCCACTTGACTCTACCCGAAAAAAGAAATGCAACTTTGGCCTACACATGCTTTTATCCAACCGGATACGTCTAACACCAACTTTTCGATTCTGAATAAAAACAGGAATAGGTTTGGATAACTAGAGTACGGGATCGGAACGACGACCGTCGGCCTCTAATGCAACCATATTAACCCTAGATACTGCACTACGTGCGTTCCCAGGCTCAAAATGATGTGACTCGAATACCTTGCTCTGGCTATTTGTTTAGCAACATTGGTAACCCACTTTCTAGATCTTATGATTAATGAATTCTGATGACAGAATCACGCAGTTTTATCTAATAGAGCTGGTGCTTCATTTTGTCTCCTAATACGAAGACCTTAAGGAAAGCTGTTTATTTCGGTAAATTTTACGTTGACGTTGTCCAACTGCCCTTAATTTGAAGCATTTCTACAGCATCTCCTATTTTTCATCGAAACTAAAGATCATAGTTCTGACTTAGAGAAATTTGGACGCTTCGTATGCGTTCTGGGTACAATGCTTCTTGATGTTAAACGTTTGAACCGAACGAACATTAGCCTTGCTTGAGAATACAAAATAGTTTTGCTAAATCTATTTCGATCAACAAAATATTCACTGTTAATAAGGGAATTTTGACGCTATGACACTGATTTTCAGGCGAAATGCATCTCAAGTCTTGATATGTGCACAGAACTACACCATACGGTATGGTCGTGGCTCTTTCGCGCCACCGAGCTGCTTCAAGACGTCGGTCATAAATTGTGTCCAAGTCCGATCACCGGCGAGAAGAAATTCAATAAAACGAAAAAGCAAATGGCAGTCTGTGAACAGCATCAGACGATGCTCAACTTGTTCAATAACGGGTAAACCTCTTCAGAATGCTGGCGAATGCCATTGTTATCAGTTGATTTGCTGTTAAGGTTGATCACCTTCGCAAATCCGTTGTTTATTCGACAAGTATTCCGAGACTCAGCCGCAAACGTCGAAGACGGAGCCATGCTGATACGGCTTTGTGATGAAAACTCCGGATTTCTTTCCTTTGCATTCGGTTTCGAAAAAGGGTAACGCATTTATTTTCTTCATTGGTTGGACTTTTTCAAAATTTTATCAATTTTTAAGCGAAGGATTCCTTTTTTTTATTGGTGAGATTTAACCAAGTCCTTTTTATATCAATTTCGTGGCATTTAAGGAAAACTCTACTTCACTCAATAGTGTTAATTAAATCTCTATAAACCAACTTTGTATTTAACCTTTAATCTAAATAATCAGTATCCTCGTGGTTTATTGAGCTGAGACGAGATTAGTATGAAGGATTTATTCCGCTAACCTTTCAATATCTTCGTCTTCTTCAGAGCCGGATTGATATGAGGTGATCTACAGAGTGTTGAGTCAATTCAATCTCTCTCTAAACAAGACGAAGACGTCGAAGCGTTAGCCGAATAGATATTTTATACCGCCTCGTGTTAGCCCAATAATTCAAGAAGGTAATATTGATTAATTTATTTACCTAGTCGCCTTGTAATCAGACGATTACAAACTTCCAATAGCGACGATGGTCTCCATTACAGTTTAGTGGGTAGTAATGAAAGGATAGGCTGCAAAAAAATAAAACTACTATAAATGGGGAAAAAGATAGAGCGTTCGGTGCCCATCCACTTCCTAGAAATTCGCCGTGCATTCGACTGCATTCATAGCATTGCAAAGGTAATTGAATATGGGCTATAAAATGATATTCTGGTGATAACCGATTTAGTGCGATAGTGTTTTATCTTCATAAAAAATTGTTTTGAATTTCACAAGTGGGAGAGATGCACTTGGCTTCAACCGAGCTTAGAATCGAAACAATGACCACGTTCGCGTTAAAAAACTTCTAGCCACTGCGCTACACCCTCACACATGAATTACAATAAAACTGCAAACAATGGGTTACTCTTTTATAAGAACTCGTCGTCCGTGGAGTTGTAAGTCCAGTTTCAGCTCGACGGACGTCTTGCGAATGGGTTCACTTTCTGCTGAACAAGTGAAAGACTTCAAACAAGGTCTACCCGAAGTGCTGCTGGACGAGCAGTTTCCATCTAAATTTGCCTTCCTTGTTAAAATCGAAGCAGACGATGCAAAAACCAATAACGTGGCTATTTCTTTGACAAGGTACTCATATTTTTCGGTGTAAATGAGTGAATACTCGGAACAAGGAACAAAATGAATAATACAATATGGATAAACAAGTGAAGAAAACGACCATAGCAATCTGAACGATGCTTTCTCTTAAACAACAAGGACCTTTGGTATTTGTAAAAGCTTACAAGCAGAAATGCTCTAAGACGAAACGCCGCTTCCGTTCCGATCAAATGTTTTTGCGAATAAATTAGGTTATCCATAGTGGTGCTGATGAATAGCACTCTTGATATTTTGGGAGTCACTTCGTTACTTTCCTTGTCATCCATTGTCTGAAACAACTAGTCTCAGACTATACATAAGGAAGTTTTATGTGAAAAATTTTGAGGACTTTACTTTAATATTCCCGCGTCGACGCCTAACTTTGCATTTTTGCGGAGTGAACGATGCCTAATTCTTCGCTGCGCTCGCCATGAGACCTTTAAGTGTCACATTGGCCACTCCCGTGGAAATATTATGGCAACTATAGGTGTCATTCATCGTAAAACTATCAATCACTCTAACGGGAGCTAGGGCGGGCGATTTTTTCTATTATTGCAAGTCGACAATACCTCTTGACAATTTAATAAAACTGAAATTCAATTTAAGAACTTCTCGTTGCCAAAGCGAATTAGTTTTGCCAAGACGTTATCATCTAGTTATACACCGAATTTATAGCGAAAAAACTAAAAACTTGGCTGAAAGACAAGCTAAACGAAGGGCGCGCATGATGTGGTGGTGAACGCGTTAGAGCTGCCGGAAAGCCTGCGTTCCGGAGTTTTACAAATATCTCAGCATCATGTTTAACGTTTTGTTTTCTGCCTTCTGTAATTTTCATGGCAGGTTACTAAGCGAAATACAACTACAATGTTGCTGAGATATTTGCAAAATTCTGGACCGCAGGTGTCTATGGTGGGGAACGAACGCGCTATTGTCCTTTCCGGGGAGTAACGCGTTCACCACCACACCATACGGATCCTTCAACTACAGCCATAGCTTAACTGGGTTCTATGCCGATTTGCGCTCCCCAGATCAACCCCGCTGATGGGTGATTGCTGTGGCAAAAAGATCGATAGAAATAGCTAAGAGACAGGCGAAACGAAGGATCCGTATGGTGTGGTGGTGAACGCGTTACTCCCCGGAAAGGACAATAGCGCGTTCGTTCCCCACCATAGACACCTGCGGTCCAGAGTTTTGCAAATATCTCAGCATCGTTGTATTAAAAAAAACTGTAGCATGCATAGAGGACAGAATTAAATAAGCAGAGAAAATAAACCTTTCTTATTTGGCGATAAATTTAGAGTGGGCTACAAAAGATCGAACCATACTGGTGTCCAATGCCATTCAAATTGACGTGCTCTTGCTGCCTCTCGTATTATTAAACAACGGCGAACGCAATAAACAGAAGATGTCGATAATACCGTGTCACAGAGATAAATCACTTTTTATTTTCTTTTCAGGAAGCGATCTGTGTTCCATAACTATGAGACGGTGCGACAGGATAACGTCATTCACGCTCAAGATAACAAAACGACGAGAGTAAACCCGCTGACCGGTAGAAAAGTCCCACGATCATTGGCATCAATTGGCAGTCCCACTCAACCAGTGTACCATTCTGAACCACGTAATAAATTTCTACAGATCGATCGTAAGAACAAATGAAAAATAAGTCTAGTAAATCCTAAGCCATATAAAAACAATAACACATCTCAATGTTAACAAGCGGAAAATAGAATAGAATGCTGTTGCCTCCAAACCTTTTAACTGACGAGTGACTTCCAAATTACAACCTCCAATGTTTTTACCCCTCCACTGCCGCTCATATTGGTCCATTTTTCTCGAGGAACCCGAAAAACAACACTCCATTTCTACGTTTTCTACGAGACCCTTTATTTTTAGTATTCTAAGCGACAGCGTTGTCGCGAACAGTCTACAATGCTCTGCTATGGCAATATCTTATTCTTAGCTGAGCCTCTGGAGATAGAATTATGGATCCTCTCTTTACTTGTGTGACCATGATTAAAACTGAACCAGCACTAGCCTCCCATGACTTCTGCATTAAAGTTCAACACTATAACATTTACGGTCACGGTGTTGAATCATCAGGATCGATTCAAGAAAGAAAATAAGATGAAAACCATAAAAAGGTAAAATAAGTTAGATTTTCGAGTTTCGGTGGATTGTAAGACTTCGCTGACTGATTCTGTGGGCTCTAATTTTTTATTTGCCTTCTTTTAATATGTTTCAAACTTTTTAAATTTGAAAAGACACTGCATTCAATTTCACATTATGAAATGCTCTACTAAAACTTTGATATTTTGTGAAATAGAACCATAATGATGCTGAGATGTCTGCGGTGGGAAACGAATGCGCTACTACCCTTTACGGGCCTAACGCGTTCACCACCACACCACGCCGGTTCTTCGTTTCGCCTGTCTATCACCTAGTTTTCTATCGATCAGTGCCACTGATACTTCACAGCGAATTTGATATTTGCTTGACTAATTAATTTTTTTGAATCCCTTCAACATTTTCAGATTTCTGAATTTTTTATTCCACTGAAAATAACATTCCTCACTGAGCTTTGAAAATCCCAACGAACCTATTTCAGTGGCCTCCTTCCTCAACCTGCCAATTGTGACAAATGCTCTTTTTTCGATGATTCAGCAACAAATGGCGCAACCGATGTCATCATTTCTGCCGAATGGAACGCAAAACATCCGGGAGTTGTTTAGTACTATGAGATCTCCAGAGACTGCTGAGTACGGCTTTAATTATCTCTTGGCCACTTTAGATTCCCATTTGCTAGAGCACATCAACAAGAACGATCAAGTCAGTAAAAAAAGTCGAATAGTGAGTAAAGTAACTTAGTAAAACATGACACCATAGAAATTACCACATGCAGAAATTAGATTTCTGAGGAAATACGTCGATCGATATTCCATTCGAAAAAGCTGTTTCAAAAAGGAAGTCACCATTCCAACTCGACAATTTTGTAGCAAACAATAACGAAAGTAACCAGTGATTCTGATAACAACTATGGGTGAGTCGATTTGCGCAAAATAAATATATTTTTAGAGAATCCGAATCCGATAGAGAAGAAGAAGTCGCAGAAGTAGCCCAGTCTCTTAAGAAGGTGGAAGAATCGCAACAGTGACTACCACTGATAATGCTCACTTATCGGTGTAGGGTCAAACCAACCTCAGCCTATGATGAACTCTCACTGGAGGAGCTGATCTTCAATTCAGCACCACTTCTCCCTTTTTCGTTATCCTCTTTTTCGAAGTCTTTCAGAAAATTCGCCCACTATTCTGTAATATTTGATGTCTCGTGCCTTGGCTTTTCTTCTGCTGGGCAGCTAATCTTTCTAATAATCTCTTGGAATGATGATAAATATACAATATATCCTACCTCTCCTCTCTTCATCACTGTAGACTCGTCCCGTACTTATCTTTTGTTGCAAACTCTGCAGTCGTTCCAAAACATCCCAGAAATTTCTTTTTAAACTACTACTTTGATGTCAACGAAATTACAGTAGATAAGGTTGTTCAGTAATTAAACTTCGATTTCCATAAATTGTTATAAAGATTCGTGGACTTAAACCAGCATTCGCTGCCTATACAACTTCTCTTAAGCAGTTCATCGATTTCTAAAATATCTGCAAATGCTTATTGTCGAAACAATTTTAAATCACATAAAGCATATCCTTGTTCTCTCTTGCTGGCATCACACAAATATGCACCAGAATTCGACTTTCGACATCGGGCCTCGATTCAACTAATCGCGTCAACTAATCGTAGGACTCGGTGCTGTCACAGGAATCACTGTCGTTCCGCAAAAATTTGAACTGAAAGACAGCAAACTTCCCTCTCGCCCATTAAAGCCACAGATGTTTGTGGTGACGACATGAGAACGAATTTGCGTACCTATCTCCGTCTTCTAGAAAACACCATACTGGACCAACATTCAAGCATGTTAGTGAGAGAGGATAAGAACGTTTCAACTCACTGCCGAAGTGACTCACGAACTCGACCATCACTTTCGATGACACTTAGAGATCAAAGACGAAAATGGAAAAACAATTGAGATGAGTCGTTTTTTTTTCTAAGAGCACAAAATGCGTCGTGCTTCGCCTTCATGATGTACGTGTTGATTTCTGATTTTTCTACATCCGTCCAACAAGTTGCACCTACGAAATATTACAGAAAGGCTGCAGCTTTCACATATTATTTTAGCAGAACTACGTTTACTTGCTTACTCGGCCTTTGGCAATTTACCAGCAACGTCCTGATTTTAGTTTGTGGGCGTTAGACATTAAGATAAGTTCGTCTACCAGGACGACCAATGTGAAAGGATGCTGGCCAACACAAATGCACAGGCGTGTTCTCGCATAATTTTAAGTTCTTATGATGTTTTCCTATAAGAGTGTGGTAGAAACGAATGAAATAGTTTACCTTTCAACATTTTCATATCCCAAACGTTTTTTCACATGACCCGGAATCACATATTTTGGGCAAGTTTAAGCCTTTTTGTCTTTGATTCATTCTCTCGTATCCATACTCCATCAACGTATGCGATTTTCTGTGAGTTCGGTTGTTGGTTGACGATCTGGAACTTCTCTATGAGCGTCATTAAATGCTAATGTGTCGATTTACTCTCAAATCCTAGGCTATTCATTTTAGGATGTCTCCAAATCTTCATTATAGCCAGTAACCAGGTTTTGACTATTGAAGGAAGCGGCCTCCAACGAGCCTGGTAGCAATTTCCCAACCTTGTAGAAATAGCAGACTTAGTTGGCTTGGAGTGGATCATGAAAGGTATTGCAAGCACTGAATAGCATCACTACCAAAGCGCTACCCGCACCAGGTCTTTTATGCAATTTTTGTAAAAGCGCATAGTAACTCCCACGTCCGACTTTCTATTAACCTCGGCATTTTCGCCTTCCTCAGGGCCGCTTTCTATGAGTCCTTCACTGTGTATGTGGTGTGAAGACAGAATTCACCTCGAAGCGTAATGTAAAGCGCATAGTTTTTCGAGAAAAACCTTTATGTACTGAGTAGAATGATCTCGTTGGTTGCCTAAGATTTACATGACCGCTCCTCTAATATGATGCCGAATTCTCGAGGTCGATTAATATTGGGCATGGGCAACTTGTGATATCGTCGAAGAACATTCTAATGGAATAACACGTTCGACCACGTAGAATCTTTTTCTGGTTTTTATCACTATTTTATTTTACACAACCCGTCATCACATTTACTGTGCCGATCTTAACACTTACTGAATTCGTTTCGTTCTTTGCATTCATCATCCACAAACGCCTTCGAAGATTTCGCGTGTTGTATCGGCTGCTGCTTGCAGATTTCATCTTCTTCATGAATGGCGTAGAATGCTGGTTGAGTCGACTTTTTCAGTCTTGAAGATAGCCGGACTAAAGCGCTCCCACTTGCGTTGGGGGAAAACGTTGGCAGGGTTTGAACCAGCGCCGTACTTCCTAATCGACTTCATTGCTAACCACTTCCCTACCCCTTCGTTTTTTGAGCCAACTCAGCAAGATATTGCTGCTGCAGTATAACTTTCAAGGTGCCAATATCATTCCAAAGAATGGCGTGTATAGAGGTCGATGATAGATCGATGATACATGAGATAAATTGAACTTGCAGAAAAACTCTTCAGATTGCAGTGCTGATGACAACAGGAGATGCTCTGTTCTTTGTCGAATGTAATATGGTCTTTTCTACAGATCATTTTATTTATATATTCTCATGAACTGATCTTGTCGAGCTAATGCGAGGTTGGCAAAAGTTGTCGTTGTTGCGGTTGTTGGTCGCTGGCTGACGTCCTGGCAATTTCGCCTTACTCAGAACCGTGATGTTGTGAGTGGGACTACGATTTTTTGTCTTAGTGAAAATACGTCCCTTATAAGTCGGAAATGTTTTGCTGTTACTTCTCTTAATAACTCAAAAGACCGCCTTTCTATAATCCTCGGCGTAAACAATCGATATATTTATTTGTATGTTCTTATGAACTGGTCTTGTTAAGATGGCGTGGGTTGGTCTAAGATGACGTTATTGTTGATATTGTCATTGGTTGATGGCCAACGTTTCGGCGATTCCGCCTTCATAATTTTATGTTGGACATTTCAAATTCTCTTTTCAGTTTTTTCGGCTCCACAAAACCGTTCCTTTTCTTTCCTAGGGATATTCTTCTACTAGATGATGCAATACTGGTACTATATAGCTGTTTCAAAGTTTCTCTTGATTGTTTTGTGAGAAAAGAAATCTTATCTCGGAAGTTACGGTAAAACCCGTGAAGAGTTCCAAGCCTTACATTGCTCTGTGATCAGCAAACGAATACCAGACTTGTCTGGAAGGATAAAAAACACAACCTCGATACATTCGGTAGGCTGTCGGAAGTCATTGCAAAGGCCAAATATGCATTAAATAACCTCCAAACGACGCTTGATGAAGTCGAGTGCACGGCGCATCCCTTTGGGATTGACCAATGCCGAGAGCTTTATCCTTTATCCTTTTATCTCTGAACTCTGGAAAAGAAACTGGAAAGGAACTTGCGATGATCAGCAGGCTTGCGGTACAAGGACCGTGTGAGTTTGGCTGATTTCGAAACCCGAATTTCAAATCATTGATAGTAAAAAAAGAAAATGATTCTGGTATTTAACAAAGCATACGTTATCTGTACAGCTCAAAATGAGTATGTAAAAACTTCCGTATATTTAGTAGGTAACTCCAATCCCGCACGTAATCGCTTAGGAGAACACTTCTGTCTCAACCAAATGTTGTAGAGCACGTTCATGATCGTTTTTAGTTCACGTCTAACCAGCTAATCGATATTACGTCACACCTGCCATATGGCTGAACACCTTCACGACAGAACTGATTTTTGTCCAGCCTACAATAATTCCTTGACCAGTAAAGTATTTCAGCAGTTCAGAACTTTAAACATTCATGGAGAAGACCTTGTGGTGTCGAAGTTAGTGTAAATACAAATTTTATAAAATGTCCTTTAAAGTTCAAATGTGTTCAGAATCAGGACTTTCAAAAAAGAAAAACGAAACATGCAAGTTTTAAACTTCCAGAGCAAAAGCGGTATTTTCGAATATGAACGGAACATTGTGAAACCCATCACGTCCTGCCGGTCGAAATCACGTCTGACCATTTATGATCGAAATATGAGCTTTGGAGCAAAAAAAGTAGAATAAAGTTTTCTTGGTGTTTCTAGAGCCGAACGCTTGAAGGAGCGAGATGTAGAGGTTTAAGAAAACATCTAAAGTTTGATATTTTGTATAGTTATCTAGACGACCCCACATTCAAAGAGGTGTTCAGGTTCGGCCAAGCGACGACAATCCATCCCTGTCTTTTTTACTTAATTCCGTACTAAAAGCTGTAAGAGCACTTATGAAATCCCTAGGTAGCAGTACTACGAAATGCGGCCAGCGGCCGGCCTTCGTGGATCGAATGGACATTTACCGCCTTGGAAATTGGATTGTTCCAGAATAAAAGCGATTGTTGCGAGTGAAAGTTACGATTATTCAGCATCTGAGAATGATATAACAAGCAAGAAAGTTCAAAGTTCAGTTTTGTTAAATGCGCTTAATTGACGATGGCGTGACAACAAGAACCATTTACAATGGGACATTGCAGCTGGTATGACCTGTATAGAAGTCACCCTTTCTCCTTTTCTTCTACATTTCTTGTAATCAAACTTGTTCAATACAATGTTCGTCCTGCCATCGTCCATCGATCCTGCTCTCTACACTCAATAGTTCACAGAAAAGTTTTGTTTGGATAGGTTCATTTTGTGGGCGAAAGAGTACAACTAATTACATCAACACACTTTCATGATGCTCTTATGTCACTAGGTATTGCTTGAAGTATTTCCAACGCGAGTCGAGAAAAAATTACAACTACAAAATTTAGAACAAGCCCTCGGCATAACAAAAAGCTTCCACATTGTGAATGACACCATGATTTCATGTTTTTTAATACCGTAGAAAATAATAAAGTCCGGCCAGCCTGCTCTTAGCGAAGGTGCAAAGGTTTTATTCAAGTGTGAACACTTTTGATGGTATGACGTCATTGGAACCATACGTTGCGATCACTGTGTGACAAAAAATCATCACTTTGACGTCAATCCTAAAACTGAGAAAAACCGACATCTTTACAATATTAACTGAATGATTTGTAACGATGTTCGTTGAGATTTTCCTGACTTGTTCAAGTCAGTGCTGGCAATCACCAATAAGGTCGGCTACAATAGAACTACATAAGACATTCGCAAGGAATATTCACAACTGTACAATAATCGTATACAAAAAGATGTACTAGAATATTCTATTCCTTTACTGCTGGTATCTTTGTTCGCAAGTGATTCAGCATAAATAAGCCGAAAATATTATACAATCCCTGATAGATTATGCATTTCACCGAGCTGTCAGCTGCCGCTTCAGACTGAATCTCAATATATTCAACAATCAATTATGGAAATCACAAAGTCGACTGAAGAATATCGTCTTCAGAGTTGTAGTCGTGTAGTTGAGGTGAGTGCTGAAATAACGAGGCTTTTATCAGTGAGATAATTCAATGAAAACTGTAGGAGGTGCTGCAGAGACCATGGGAATCTAATACTTTCTTTCTTATAATAGTCTAGGCCAGCAGGCAATTGTAGTACAGACCATTACAACGACTGCATTAGTGCTGTTTTCTGAAAATCAAAAGAAGCGCAAAAAAACTAGACTCATTGTTGATGAAAAAGTAAGCTGTTCCGATGAGCTTTGCCGACGCTAATCCATTATGCAGCAACGACATCGTCGAACGGTTGCCAACAGAAAAACGGTACATAGATGCTTACCGCCATCGCTACTAAACAAACGAACATGCTGAAGGCCGCCTTCGAGATAAGAAACCAGAAAAATCGGAATCGTTCCATCGGAGAAAACCGGAACGTGCTGCATTTCGTTCTGGAAGAGAATCATGAAGTTCACAAAACTCATAGACATCAGAAGGCTGTTGCGCACATCACCATATGATCGCAGAAAAACTTAGCACATGTTCAGCAAGCACCTACTAAAGTGATCCCGCTTCATCAGCAAACGCAACAACCCCTACATCGATCATAAAGTGAATGCTGTTATCACAAGAACAAAAGGAAGCACAAGCACGAGCCATTAGATCAAGATACTGAGTCTGACTGAATTTCAATTCACGGTGACTAATATTCCCTCTCAAATAAATTCCACAAATCTTCGCTGGACACTTATGGAATATCTTCACAATTCAGATGTTATCTGAGGATTTTGAAAAGAAAGACGGAAAGGCTTACATTTCGCAATCCTTGTCATGATCATATAACACGGTGACAAGTGCCAGTGTAATTGCGGCAAGAGCTTTACCGATTTCAAGCGCAAGGTAAATTAGAAGAACTCCTGAAACATTGTCGACTATCTGTAAAGTTATCCATATCTTCTAAAACTACATGGTATTCAGCATTAATTCCTGCGTAGTTTCAAAACCCACTGTGCTGACCTAGACTTGGTCTTCGAGCATGAAATATGGAGACGAGTGCAGTAAGTACTTCGACAAAGAAGAGCACAGCAAACGGATAGAAAGCCACCGAATTGATGATAAAGACGAGCAACAACACCGATACCATCACCAGAACGTCCAACGACTGCAAACGCAAATTTATTTACAGTGAAGGGCTGTCATGAATGAGATTAGACTGAATGAAAGTGAAATCGCTAAGAGACTAATGTCACCCTTAACAGACTAACTCAAAACGCTTCATAGACGTTTCGCATTAACAAGATATGGAAGCACTTTGCAACGTCATCCATATAAGACTCTTAGGAAGGTATAATTAAGAAGAGACAATCGTTCGAAAATGGATATAACAGACCGAAATAACACTCACTCTAACTTGCCCAACATTTGATTTTGAGTCGTGAAATAGCGCATATCCTAGCAGGATTCTCTTTTAATTTACTGATTGGATAAGATATTCTTTCCTTGGAGTGCCAAAAGCCCTCCTAAGGTTGTTCTAGATCACCATTACTTGTCGGTAGTGACAACTTTGTTGTCAGAATGGCTATGATTCCTGGCATTGGTTTGTTCTTCACCGAGATTCCAGATTGAAACGTTGTTGGGAGGTGGGAACTCACATTATATGTCATAGTTCGGCGGCCAAGACCGCTCAAAGCCATGAGAAACCATTTAGGGAATTTAGGGAATTTAATACAATAAGTAATAAAAAAGAGTACTACAAAATGAATGATTGTTGATATTGCATCGTGTATCCCCTTATCTTATTACCGTTCTAAGCCCAATTTCTTCACTTTAAATGTTTTGGCCTAAATAATTTACTCAAAAGAAACCCTGAGGTTCGCAAGTTCTTTGTCCGCTAAAAAACAAAGAATTATTTGAAGGCATTGCGAATTATGGAACAATAGAGATTCTTCCATCTTTCAACGGTCCACAGCCGATTGATTCCGACATATTTTTTATTTTCACACAAAAAAGCATGTAATCTAATGACATATGCTTGGGTAAGTAAACAGGCCCGACTTGCACTACTCAGCAAATTGCCCGTCCATCCATAAGATTGCGTAGAGAAATTGTCAGTAAAAATTACTTTCCCTGTCTATCACTCTGAAGACGAGAAAATGTTTCCAGTTTGTATCAAGAATTGTCTTTCTATTCTATTCTTTTTTGCAGTAAATAAGTAGAATGAAATGAAATGGGACTATCGCATCATCAAAAAATCACATTCGTAAGAAGTCGATGTGAAGTGAAACGCGCAAAAAGAAGCGTTGACGAGAATCGTATAAGATGAGGACTCCACAATGAGTATAAAAAATCGAAATATCCCAGAGTATGAAACGATTTTCGCATTTACGCCATTTTTATTCGATTTTCAGAATAACACCAAGGTTCCCTAGGGCTCACACGCTGCATTTCACCTATACATCTAAGCCAGAGTAGTTATAGAAACACCGTCTAGAAAGGATGTCGCAAATCTTCCTCAAAATGCTGAATGGATGAGATTCGCCTTCCACTTAACCGTCTAACTACATACCTTAAAGATTATGAGAAACGTCTTAAAGCCCCGCATTTCTTCTTTCTTGTCTCTACATCGAGATCTGAAATGGAAATTTGAGTTCATTAATATCAGAACGCTTAAGACTAATACTGATTGTAGTTATTGAGCATTCTAAAAGGAGTGCGAAAATGTACAATTAGAAAAATCATCTCTACTTCACGAATGAATCGGATGAAAGAAGACAGCACCAGAAATTTTCAGTTGAGTTTTCCACAACGGAGAATTTGAAGTGAGTAGACTATGGAGAATCTCTGACAGAAAACAAAATAAACGGAAAAAAATGATAAAGCTCTCGGCGTTAATCAATCCCTGAGGGATGCCCCATGTATTCAACTAGGGGGGGGGAGGGACTACCGAAGTATCGACCCAGTGCAACTATCCTCCCCAGACAAGTTCGGCACTAATCTGCCGACAACGGAGGTGTGGAAGGCTTGGTGGGCCATGGGTGCGAGGACCAATCCCACGTGTGTGTTGCAGGGCGCCTCCGACCACTGCGCCATACGCGCCCATAAACAGAAATAACATAAGGCAGTGGTATGAATCGGAATAAACATTCCAACTATCTGCTAAAGATAAAAACATTGGATTGATACAACGATAGGTCCCAAAGTGACTGTACAGACTAAATATGCATAAAATTACCCTCATGATACTTGATGAATTCGATAGCATTAGAAAAATCTCAAAGGCACTGACAGCGTAGATCCACACTGTACACTTTTTCCTTTACCTTTCCAGGAATAAACAAGTGAAGAATTCAACTATGCAACTGAAGGGATGCCTTTACCGTTCTGAGTTAAACAAACACTTTTGTGAAGAAGAAGAAGAGGAAAATGAACAAAGACTATGAGCAGCACCACTAACTGAGTGGGCGTCACCTAGATAGGCATGGACTTGGTACTTGGTTTGATCAACCTGGCTCTCACTACAAAAACCTTGAAAAAATAGAAAGTTACTGAAATGGCGAACTAACATCGACAGCTAAATTTTCTAAGTTACCAATTTTCAGGTGTAACGCCCGTATTTACTTAAGAGTAGGAAAAGAAAAAAGTTTTAACAACCGGTTGTCATTAAATCGTCAGAGACAAACAAAAGACTTGTTTTCAAAATAAGTACCGAACAAATATCAATTTAAAAATACCGCTTTTTCTCGAACATCTTTTGAACAGACGAACACCAAATTTTGACTTCTTTTCAATCATGAGTCTTAGAAAGTGAGCAAAGAAATAAGCAGAACAGAGTAAAACGAGAAGAAAACAAAAAAGAAAGAGAATTTGGATCAAAAAGGAATAAATTTCGAAAAACTACGCGCTAAAAAGCCGGTGGCGCACCTATGGAAATGACAAGCAAATAAGGACAGACGAACTCTGACATTCCGAATTCCGGCAATTATGGATTTTCTCGAAATGGCTGTAGCACACCGCCATTTCATGAAAAACTGCTGTTCTCACACTTCAATGGCATTTAAATAATTAAGTAAAGATACTGTAAACCCCATGAGGCCTCCTGCAACTTAGTAACGAGAGGTGGCTTGTAATATAGTTCTTTTCTAGTTCTTTTAATAACTCAAAACACCGAGTTTCGATAAATCTCGACATGAATAATCGATATATACGCTCCTATGAGCTGATCATGTTGAGCTGATAAGAGGTTGGTATGAGTTTCGTTATTGTTGTTGCTGTTGTTATTGTTGTTCTTGTTGTTGCTGTTATTTGCTTTTGTTGTGGCCTGAGAAATATTTTTCATAAATTAAAGGGTTGATCATGGAACATCGATTAGGAATGAAATGTCGATCTATTTCTGATGCATAGACGACTGCTTCGTCTTCTGTTCCACATAAGAACAGATGGATGAGTGCTTTAAATCGTTAAATAGACAGGAAAACCTACCGAGAACTGGCTTCCATTCTTAAACATCCACATAAAGCTTTCAAAAAGTGGCTATATAACAAAAGGGTATCGTAAGCCAAGCAGTAAAAATATAATAGTGCACTACCTTTCCTCTCATCCTTCACATATGAAAAAAGCATCCATCAAAAACATCTACCAAACGGATAAAAATATGCGCGCAGGAGAAAAGGAAAAAAATGAATCGCTAAATTTGGCAATGTGGCACAAAAAATAGCCAATTCCAATAGGTACGAACCAGAAGCCACTTGGAACGAGCAAAAGTGTAGGGTTTTTATCCAAAATAAGGTTTCGAACCTAAGTAAAGTCCCATCCAAGCCACCTTTAATACCAAACGAAATAAGTTATTGCGTCATCAAGTATATAAACACAGCATATATATATATATATGTATATATATACATCACTGGCCAAAATGGGAAGAAGCTGTAAAAATATGTCATTGAGAAAAAAGTGAGCGTGAAGAAGGCGAGTGTCCTCCCCCCCCCCCCCTAGTTGTGCAACAGTCACTCCACAGAGCTACGACACTCTAAAAGAACGATAAGAGACATAAGATTGTCGCATCAAGTGGACAAGTTGACAAAGGTTCCATCACAATCGTTTTTCTTAGACTTCATTTGTGGGCGCAAAACAAGAATTATTAAAGTGCAGAAGGCCACAGCCAATACGAGAAATTTGACAGCAGCTGTTCGTTAAGTAAGTGTGACGCAGGGAAGAGGGTGCAGTAGAGGAAGTAGGAAGACACTTCATTACCCATGAAGTCCACAAAAATGAGTAATAATTATAGAGGAGAATTTTATAGTGGAATCACGATACCTCATGATTGAAATAAGCCTTGAGATGCTGGAATCAGGACCTACATGAGTTTCTAGATTATAAGGGCTTTTTCTTGCAAGAAATAAGGACCGTTCATTTAGACTCTAGGGACCACCAAAAACATTGTTAAAATCGTTCTTGCCTACGGTTCAGTTCCAGAAAGCATCTGTGTATATTTGAAAAAGGCTTCAATCTCATCTGTTCTCTTTTAATGTTCTATTACAGTTATGAGGAAATTTTGAGAAATTTATTGTTAACTGATCTATTTGGTTAGCAAAGAATTTGGATAAGGTTACTTCATTCAGAAAACCAGATTCAAAAGACGGAATAGATGCACTAGATCATCTATTGATCGATAAACTTGGCATCGTAATGAAAAGCATAACTTCGTTCTTTAGCATTAACCAAGAGGTGAAAAAGAAAAATAACTCGATGGATTCAAATGATCTGAAAGACATTTTATAAGAAGTAGTAGCACAGTGGAATCTTTCGGTGAGTAGCCGAAGAGTTCCGAGCTCTTCTTGTTCTTCATCACCGTTTCCGAACCTTCTCACCACGGCCTATTCTGCTCTTTAGATCATGAAGTGCGGTTTCCATATTGATTGACCGATGAAATATGAGAGGCCTCACTGATAACAACAAGAACACAAAATGAGAAGAAATGTTCTGTTCTTCGGTCGAAGTCAAGTTCATCGAGCTTTCCATTTAGTACTCGACAGTTGACAAATGTCGAGAATCCGATAGATGGAAAAGAAAAAAACGGGTTTTAATATTGCCTCTGGTACAATTATTTTTTACAAGAAGGCTGAAAATTCCATGTCGAACAGCTAA